CGCTTCGTAAGGTTTAATGAAGTCCAGGGTCGGAGGCCTCTCCGGATAGTCCCACGGGATGTGGACGCAGGCAGAGACTTGCCTCGAGGGCCCCGGGTCGCGTCGCCTTTCCTGCTAGGAGCCTCCATAGTTTGGCCCTCTGGGCACAGGGTTTGCTGCTTATTTCCGCTTGCAGTCCTTCCAGTCGACTGGCCCTTGGGCTCCTTGTACTCCAGGTGATACAGGACCGATCCCCTTAAGGAATTACCAGACTAAACCGGGACATTTGTGAGAGTCTGGCGCAGCTGCAGAGACTTTCCTTGTAAGACAAGGGAGGCGGTATTGTGCTGGTTTGAGAGCTGGGCTCGGCCTGTCCTTTCACCTGTGCCCGTGCTGTGGCCAGAGGCCTGCTACTCCAGCCAAACCGCGCCTTTCCCGAGGCCCAGAGTCTCCACCTTGGGTGCCTTTTCCTTTATTTTCGGTGAAGGCAAGACCCTTCCTCTCGCAGGGCTCGCGGGCCTTTTCTGAGTACTCCAGTCCAGGCATGAGTTCCCCTTCTTCCCAAGTATATGTAGCACCTTGTATATTTATATGTTAATACACTTTCCTATGTCCTTGAGTTGACTGCGCGGTAGCGATACGTGTGTTGGTGGTGAGAAGGGCACCGGGTGGTAGAGCGGGGGTCCTGTCAGACCTTGGTGTAGCAACCTGTGTACTTGAGCTCTGGCTAAGAACCAATTTAGAGCCAAGACCCAGACTATAAAAGAAGGTTAATTTAGAAAGTCACAGAAGTAGTGAGCTGTAGAAGAAATGGGCTTAGGAAACAAGCTAGAGAGGCAAAAGAAGGGGCCTTGGAGCTCAGGGGAGAGAAATGTGAAGGCAGTGAGCCCAGGAGTAAGGAGAGCGGAAAGGTGTGGGAGCACAGCGGGGTCCTCCGCACACTGAGGGCTCTTCAGGGTGGGGATTTTAGGGCCGGCCCTGGGGAGGAAATCAATAGAATATTCATCAGCTTCCCAGGTGTGTTCTTTTTGCGTGGTGGTCTCCCCTGATTGGTCGGCACCAGGGCCGGGGATCATTAGTCAGTGCAGCTGGTCCTGAGGTCAGCCATGGCACCCCTTTTCTTGTTTTGCTGCTTCTCTGGGCCTGGAGCTAAAATACATCTGATGGTATCCCTACTGGTTAATGCTTAAGAGAGTAGTCGCACAAGGGCTTGCAGGAGGGCCCCATGAGGCTATTCTGCCGCCCCTTGTTCTCCTCTAAGGGGGTCTATCACATGACTACCAACATGCCAGGGGAGGAAAGGTCAGGGAAGGGTCTGAAGCTCATAGCCAGCATATGAAAGGTCACAGGGTCTAAACCACATCTCCAGTGCTATGGTAGGGGAGGAAAGGCTGCCCTGGGTGGCAAGGTCCTTGTTTTCTGAGTTTTGCCTGTTGCTAGGCACCTGCCGGGCCCCGCCTGCTTTCTGTACCTTCTGCTCATGTCTATTTAACTACCTACCGCATATGTACCATACAGAAGACCTACAGAGGCTGAGTACTTTGTGTGTACTTGTTAATAAGGTTGCATCCTTAATTAACTTTGCTCTGGGAGAGAGAAAAGTACAAGGTATAACTTTTTGCCCTTAAAATGCTAATGATTTGGTTAAAGGGAAGGACTTCGCCTGGCTGGCTTGGTTCAGTGGTTGAGTGTTGACCTAGGAACCAGGAGGTCATGGCTTGATTCCTGATCAGGGCAGATGCCCTGGTTTCGGGCTCGATCCCCAGTGGGGGTTGTGCAGGAGGCAGCCAATCAATGACTCTCTCTCATCATTGATGTTTCTATCTCTCTCTCCCTCTCCCTTCCTATCTCTGAAATCAATTAAAAAAATTTTTTTTAAAAAGGGGAGGACTTTGATGAAACATTTGAAGACCTATTTAAGAAAATAAGAGTATAATATGAATCCAAAATAAGGGAAAGATCAAGGTAGCCTATAGGTAGAAAGGTTACCCTTACAAATTCGGTTTTAAAAATCAACAGTGAGGAAATTGTAATGTTTAAACAAACAAGCATTCCAGGTTTGGGTAGTGAGAAGCAGGAACAAAGAAATGAAGATGGCATGAAACGAGAGTGAAATATTGTGCTTATTGGAGACATGGACTTTGTTTTGAACACCACTGATTATATAGTAGCTGGCACAGTGCCACCCACATAGTAGACATTTAATCAGGACTATTGGTTACACATCAGAAATCCAATTGCAACTGGTTTGATGAAGAAAATCATAAGTGAATTTATTGACTTGCATAATTAAAAACTACAGGAGTAGTTTAGGTTTAAAAGATATGTACTTACAGATAATCAAACAATAACTTCAGGGGTCACTTCTTTTTTCCTTTCTCTGACTTTTTTTCTTTCTCTGACTTTGAGAAAAGTAAGAGTGTTTCTGTTTTAGAGATTAAAAAACTAATTTTAACTTGCTTAAGCAAAAATATATTTTTTTACGTTATGTAACCAACAAGTTAAGAGATTCTACATTTAATAGGCATTTCAAAAGAGAGGCAAAGTTCAAAAAAATAATGGCCAATAATTTTCTAGAACTGAAGAAAAATAACTCTTTAGATTGAAGAAACACAAATCTTGAGAAAATAACATGCAATGTGATGAATTTAAGCAAAGAGAAAAATTTGATAATCTTAAGAACAGCAGTTAAAATATAAGCTACCTACAAAGAAATGGCATTTAGACTGGAAGCCAAATTTGCAAAAATAAAAATATATGCTGAAGATAGCAGAAAATACATATTACGGAGGGGAAACTATTGATACCCTAGAATGTTATAACCAATTGAGTTATCACTCTTGAATGAGGTTGTGATATAACGCACCACTGCAAATTCAAACAATATCATGATCAACCCTAGGCCCTTTCCATCACACCCAGCTAAGGGTTAAAGTCTCAGGGATGTGGAAAGAGAGTATTCATGAATCAAAATGTACATGGATTCTGGAAATGTGGTGGTACATGAGTTTTGAATCTCCATGAATCCTCACATAAACAGTATATAGTGAAACCAGAAATGCGTGGAACAACATTTGCAACAAAACTAGACAAACCCCAAATACAAATACAAACTACAAATGCAAAACTTGTACAGTGTCAATACTGAAAAAGTCCTATCAAAGCTGTAAAGATTTTAAGAAAATCATAGAGGACATGAAAGGAAAAACAGAATAAGAAAAATTCAGAAATGAAGTAACAGAATTTGGAAAATAATTAGAAAGAAAAGAAAAAATGATTTCAGGAAAAAATACTAAACTAGAAGGAACACGGGAGTAAACAAACACAATACATAGTGCCCAAACAAAATTAGAATTTGAAAATGAGATTTTTCTTAAGTCAAAAAGAAATACAGAAAGACACAGAAATGATTTGAGTGAAATGATAAATATTGAAAATAAAGAAGCCCAGCTGGGCATGGCTCAGCAGTTGAGCATCGACCTAGGATGCAGGAAATCGAGGTTTAATTCCTGGGTTGCAGGCTTGATTCCCAGTTGGGGGCATGCAGGAGGCAGCCGATCAATGATGACTCTCTCATCATTAATGTTTCTCTCTTTCTCCCCTTCTCTCTTCCTCTCTCTGAAATTGATAAAGATATATTTAAAAAAGAAAATAGGCAAAGAAGATCCAACATATGGATAAACAGTCTCTGATAAAGAACATCAATCTA